CCTAAGCACCATTTGTTGAAAATACTATTTTTCCCCCACTGAGATGTCATAAATGTGATTCTGTTTCTCAAATCTGTATGGCAACATTCATACCATTACTACATTTTCTTAATTGTTTTGGGCCTTTTCTTCTTTCCTCCAGAGAGGTGACGATCATCATTTCACCCAAAGCTGTATGCCCATGAAAAAGTATAAGACAGAAAGAGGATAAGTATCTGTTTGAAGGTCTTGGGTAAAATAACAAAAGCAAACACTATTTCCAACTTTTAAAATATTCTCTTTTAGCTGGGCGCCAATGGCTCATACCTGTAATCCTAGCTACTCAAGAGGCTGAAATCTGAGGATCATGGTCCAGAACCAGCCCAGGCAGGAAAGTCTGTCTAATTAACCACTAGAAAATTGGAAGTGGCATTGTGGCTCAAGTGGTATAACTGTAGCCTTGAGCTGAAGAGTTGACAGACAGCGCCCAGGCCCAGAGTTCAAGCTCCAACAACAACAACAAAAAATAAATAAATAAATAAAAATCTCTCTCTCTCTCATGTCAGGAGGATACTGGAGATTGAAGAGCCTGGCACTTGTAAAGCAGGGGCTCTATTATTTTAGTTATGCCTCCAGCTCAACTCACTTTTGAGACATAAACGTTTTGTACACGTAAGACAATTCCTGTCTCTTTTTAGTTTGGGGAAAAAGGAACAGGACTAGTGAACTCAGGACCTCACATTTTTTTTTTACCCAGTATGACTTGAACCAGGATTCTCCTACCTCCACCTCCCAATAGGCTGGGATTATAAACTACCATGCCCCACTTGTGTTTTGAGAGAGTCTCATCAACTTTTTTTGTCCAGACTATCCTTGAACTGCGATTCTCTTAGCCTCGCCATCTGAATAGCCCGTTTTTACTTCTTTGGAAAACTACTACATCTAGTCATTGTTTCACAGTAACCCAGTATTTCTTCATGTTTTTGTTATATCCTACGTACCAATAAAACACTAAAAATCTTGTCTCATAAAACTCGGTATGCTTTTAAAAAATCTAAACAGCCCCTTCTAATTATGCAGAATTTGCCTTTGATAAGTAATAAAGGGTGTCATGGACAAATGACTTAGGTGCTAAATAAAATATAACCATCACAACAACTAAAGTTAATAATGTTGAGAAATATGCTTTTGTATAGAAAACATGTTTACAAACAATGTATAATGGCAATTCAGTAAAAATTTTTTCAGTTAATACTTTGGAAAAGATTTCAAATGGATGCCATTATCTCCAAGGGAAAAGCTAAACTGAGACACATTGCACACATACCAAGCAAGTATATAGAGATTTAATTAAGTGTGGGTTACTGTATTTTTGTTTTGTTTTGTTTTTTGTTGGTTGTGGGGCTTGAACTCTGGGCCTGGGTGCTCTCCCTGAGCTCTTCAGTTCAAGGCTAGAGCTATACCACTGGAGTGACAGTGCCACTTCTGGTTTTCTAGTGGTTAATTGCAGATAATAAGAGTCTCACAGACGTTCCTGCTGGTTTTGAACAGCGATCCTTGGATCTCAGCCTCCTGAATAGCTAGGATTATAGGTGTGAGCCACCAGCAACCGGCTGGGTTACTGTAGACACAGTAAAATTTCATAGCATTAGGTCAAAACTGATTGATCTTTTTGGTTTGCAGAAAACATTATATTGAGGTAAAAATGCAGGGGAACAGTTGTTACATTATATTAATACTTTTAAAGCCTCCTTTACTAATTTACTGGAGCTCTGGAAAGGCCATGATTCATTTGAAATTCTATGTAAACTTTCCACATACAGGCAGCAAAGAATTTATTGCTGTTAAGGAGATTTAAGTAGCCCAAATCCAAGAACTTGTAGGAGATTTGTGGCTCTAGTCAGTTTTATAAGCACAGAAAATTTATATAGTAGAAGAATGAATTAAGCAGCAATCTATGCAATCAGCAAGTATTGGTTTATAAATTATAAGCAATGTATGTTACAAGCAAAATATCACAATGTGTAAATGGGATGCACTTAAATGTTCTTAGAGGACAAAGAAGATAATTTAGTAATTGGTTCCTTCAGTCTGTTAGTAACACAAAAAGTTCTATGGTACAGCATGAGAAGTATCACAACATGCTAGCAGAAATACATGATGGGTCCATCAAAATCTTAAGAAAAACAATTATATATATTTAACTCTGATTTAGTATCTTAGATTTCTGACTGAAGATTGTTTGCTAGAAAGAATAGATAGATGCTGAACAAACAGTATAGGGAAAGATAACTGAATATCTAAAACACTTGCTAAACAAAAATGTAGAAAAGAAATTATACTAGAAATCAAAGAAATTGGTCATTACAGATTTAGTGGTTTGGCTGCTTTAGGTTACAAATAACAACTAACAAAAACCTAGTCTAAAGAGCTCTCAAACTAATTTTATATCTTTATTCATTACAATAACATTTAGAGGCCTGGTGCAGGTGACTCATACCTCTAATCTTGGAGGCGTAGAGCTGAGGATCACAGTTTAAAGCCAGTCCAAGCAGGAAAATATGGGAGACTTTTTTTTCCCTTCGGTCATGGGGGCCGAACTCTGGGCCTGGGTGCTGTCCCTCAGCTCTTCAGCTCAAGGCTAATGCTCTACCACTTGAGCCACAGCATCACTTCCGGCTTTTTTCTGCTTATTTAGTGCTGAGGAATGAAACCCAGGGCCTCATGCATGTGAAGCAAGCACTCTACCATTGAGCTAACTTCCCAGCCCTGGGACTCTTATCTCCAGTTAAAAACCAAAAAGCCACAAGTGGAGTTGTGGCTCAAGTGGCAGAGTGCTAATCCTGAGCACACATGCATGCATGTGCGTGCAAACACATACACACACAAACTAGTGACAGAAACTAAGTCCTGAGGAGTTGAAACCCCAGGACCAGCACAAAAAAACAAAACAACATTTAGAGGTTGTTCCCTTTAGTTTGTGGTGGCAAACTTTTATAGCAGACCTCATGTAAGTAACAGATATGATTAAATGTGTTCTGGACAGTAACCTGACATTAAGGACCATGCTGCTTCCTCCAAAGCTACAAAATTCCACGAATATAGAATTTCAATTTAGCTAAGTATCAGTTTAATTAATTTAGCAAATTCTAGTACCCCTCCTCCAGACATGGTAGTGGGAATGGTAATAATAATAATATTTTCTAGGTTAATATAAAGATTAAATGTGGTAATAAATAAAGTGCTCAGCCTAACGACTGGGAAAAAGGAAGGTTTCAGTGATAGCTTTTATGAGTGACAACAGTTTCTCAATATTGAAAATGGAGAATACTGAGGAGCTAAGAATTCACTGATTTCTTTCTTTAAATTATACCATAAACAACCATCAGTCAAATTAAAAGATTAGGAACAATTTTTTGATCAACATTTCTTACAAATACGGTTTTAGCTTTATTCAAACTGTTATTTGGTTATTTACAAAAGATTCTAGCACAAGACAAAAACATCTTATCTTCCTAGTTCCTGTTATTGTAAAAACACAGGATTGCAGTGTTTATTAAAAACATTGAAAAGAAAAGAAATTTTTATTCTACCTTCCTTCTAATTTTACTCTCCATTAGTAAAATAGGTGAGTCCCTCTGATTCTTTTCTTTCTGATAAGCATGATAGATAAATGCACTTTACTAACATGGCTGCAATAACACAGATGAAAAGATTGTTTTGAGCCATGTGCCAGTGTAATCCATGCTACTGAAGAGGCTGAAATCTGAGGACTGTGTTTCAAAGCCAGCCCAGGCAAGAAAGTCTTGAGACTCTTATCTCTAATAAACTACCAAAAAGCTGAAGTAAAGTCATAGCTCAAGTGGCAGAGTGCTAGCCTTAAGTAAAAAGCAGCTCAGGGACAGTGGCCCTGGCACTGAGTTCAAATTTAGATATGAGAATAGTGCAGAAATTAAGTCATAATAGTGTTAGTAATCTTAAAGGTTCAATATGAAACAAAAGATGATTACCACAATGGTCTCTGCTGCAAACTGTAAAAAAATTATATAGATCATAAAGAACTCTGATTACACTGATCTTTTCAACCAAATGTGTATATAACATTTGGCAAAACCACCTTTGATCAAAAGAAAGTACAAAGATAAAATAACTTGTATTCAACTGGTTTTAATTACCAGAGGAGTTAGGGTTCAACATAATAACTGAAATCAAGCTGTCCAAAAATGTAATGGCTGCAGCCCAAAGTAGCAATCTAAAGTTGGAAATGCTCAAGAAAATATCAGAAAACCATCTGTCAGGAATATAACTGAAAAGCTTTTTCATCAGAGATGATGAGTCTGCATGGCCACGAAGAAGATTTTTTAATTTTATAAATTTATGAAAAATGGGAGAAACTACGAATAAGGCCCAAATAGTAGTTGATACTGTTACTTTGACCAAACTGAAACTTTAATTAATTCATGTAGTAGTTTAAATATAGATACTTGAGTTTTTAAAAGTTGTGTTTGTGTGTGGAAGGTAGGGGTCCTTTAAACCTCAAATATTAAAAACTTTTTTACATAGAGGTATTCATTCTCACATATAGTAAACACTGATAAAACTGAATAAATACAAACATCTATCATATGCTTCAGATTATTAGCAGAGTACATGATAAGCAAAACCATACATGCCTTCTGCTTTTATTCAGCTTACATATACTTTAATGAGTTAATATTCTAATTCTGTTTTTAAGTATTTTAAATAATAATTCCCTTCCTGCATAAGGTATGTATATTTCATCTCTCCTCCCCCAGAACATACAACAGATGAAAAACTCAAATTCTCAATGGAGCCTCACTGACTAGAAATTCTTTTACTTATTCTACAGCTGAATTTGCTAACTGACCTTAGATCACTTTCTCCATTTTTTTTTTTTGTGCATATGCTCAAGCATGTGTATGTGTGTTGTGTTGGTGATATATTATTAAAACAGTACCAAGATTATTTTCAATTAAAAAATTCTATTTAACCATTCTCACCTTGATTATTTCCACCAACTGATCCACACCACTATCTCCTGGAAATATTGGTTGTCCTAGCAATAGCTCGGCCAATACACAGCCCGCAGACCATACATCTGATGAGAAAAGAAAAAAAAAAGTTTATTAAAACACTGTAGCATGAATTGAAATACATAAACATTTTCTAGTTTACTTACAGATAAAAATAGCACTACACAAAATCCAAAATAGGAGGAAAAATACTGTAATTTGTAAGTTACAAAAATAATGAACTCTCCTTTCAGTACTAGGAATTGAGCCTAGGCCCCTGTGATTGCTAAGCAAATTATCTACACTTGAGCAATACCCCCAGCCCTCAGATAATGATTTTTCAATGAAAATAGGAATCTCAAAATGTAATGTAAATATCTTGTCTACTGATAAATTTAAAAAACAATTTAACAAAATGTCCTGATTTATCCAAAATATTCTGGGTTTTGTTTTTGTTTTTGCTGGTCTTGGGACTTGAACTTGGGGCCTGGGTACTGTCCCTGAGCCTTTTTGTACTCATGGCTAGCATTCTACCACTTGAGCCACTTTTAGCTTTTTCTGGGTAGTTTATTGGAAATGAGTCTCATGGACTTCTCTGATCAGGCTGGTTTTTAAACCTTGATCCTCAAGGCTGGGAATGTGGCTTAGTGGTAGAGTGCTTGCCTCACATGCATGAAGCCTTGGGCTCAATTCCTCAGTGCTACATACACAGAAAAAGCCAGACGTGGCGCTGGAGCTCAAGTGGTAGAGTGCTAACCTTGAGCAAAAGAAGCTCAGGGAAACCATGGGACCTATGTTTTTTGGGGGGCCTGGCTTACTCTTTCCATTTCCTAACAAATGGGGCAATGTCATTCTTTCTGATGGAGGCATAGAATTCCATTGCGTGTATATATACTACATTTTCTTGATCCATTCTGTCTACTGAGGGGTATCTAGGTTGGTTCCATATCTTAGCTATGGTAAATAATGCTGCAATAAACATAGTGTGCTAGTATATCTCTGATACAAGCAGAAAAGGTCAGATAAGATTATGTTAGGCAAAATGAACTCCAAGATAAGGACATAAGTAGTTTTATCTTTCTTGCTATTTTCTAGTGATTTTTTTCTGTTGCTTTATATGTCCCTCCCACACTGTATAACCCCTGTTTTCACTGAATTTGATGGTATAATTTGGGGAGGGGAAGGAAAAAAACCAAATTGTTTAAATAGGGATACAGGTGGACCCATTGCAACAATGAGATGTATAAGATGCTAAGTCAAAAAATGAACTTTACAACTTTGGTGTGGGGGAGGTGCAGTTGTGGAGATGGGAGGGCAGGGATGGTAGGGGAAAAACAAAGGAGGAGGCAAGAATGCTTGATAAGAAATGTACTCATTACCTTGCTCATGTAATTGTAACCCTCCTCTGTACAGTATTCTCACAATAAAAAACTTATTTAAAAAAAGAAGCAGCAGCAGCAGCAGCTCAGGGATAGTACCCAGACTCTGATTTCAAGCCCCAGGGCTGGCAAACAAAACAAAACAAAACAAAACTCCACAAAACCTTGATCCTCAGAACTCAACTTCCTAAGTAACTAAGATTATAAGTGTGACCACAGCAAGAATACTCCAGATTTTATCTACTGTCCGGAGGTAACCCTTAATAGCATTTTCTTTTTCTCTCAAATGTACCTAAAGATAAGTTGTCAGTCACTCTGGTTAAAGCCCACTATTAAGACTTCTTGCTAGGAAAAACTGCTGTTTAGTTCCCGGGTTTCTGAGATTTCCGGATTTTGTATGGATGTACACTAAAGTGTTTTAGAGGAATGAACATAAATCATTGCTAGTCAGGAAGAAATAACACTGAATGTCATGGAGACAACAATAATTAGGAATCTGATGTGGTAAGGAACACTATCACTACTTAAGAGGAACTGGAAATCTCTTTTCCAGTGACTACTTATTTTCTTGCCTTTTTTTCTTCTCTGTGTGTTCTTTTCTTATCTACATAGTGCAGGTAAGTGGAACTCAGGACCTTGTACATGTGAAGCAAACTACTATTGATAAAGCCTGAACCCTAATCCTATTTTATTTAATGAGATTTCCTATCTTACTATACCATGGACAGTCATGAACTCCTGGGCTCAAGGGATCTGTGATTACTTTCTACTCACCTAGAAAGTGCCATAGAACTCATTTAATAAATTCAAGTTGATTTTGTCCAGTTCCAAGTAATGATAACTGAGACATCTATTTTGTAACATACACTGAGAGTTCTACTTGGATATATTAGGAATTTGCTAACTGAAGCAAATATAAAATTTTGCTAGGCACATTTTACTTCATGTAAAACCAACACTATACTTTCATAGTCAAGTGCAAATATGTGATTTTATTCTTTTGGCCATATTGGTGGTGCCACACACTATTACTGACCTATATCCCAGACTCCTTGATATTTTGATCCAAGTTTTAAAACATCTCCTTACCCAGCTAATTAGATGAGAAATATGCACCCATTCCTTTCTTTTGTAAAACAGAATACTTCGTCTCAGAAGAAAGGTTAGGAAAGTTGCAGGTAAATAATTATGCCTCATAAAAAGCAATGAGAAATGTTTTCTTAGGATTCAGTTACAAATGTAGAAGATAATTAAGGAGTGAAACATCAAGGAATACTATTACCTAATAGCTATCCAAAGATTTACTAAGTGAATTTAAGTGCCTTCAAATTACTACAAACAAGGTATTTGCTATTCACTTTTTAAGAAGTAACAAGATCTCTTCTATTCTTACTTCATAAGACAAAATGATCAACCTCTTCAAACAGAAGAAAACTTTAACTAAAACAAATGGCTCACTAGATTTAGTTGAGAGTTAAGCTAAAATAGTATTTTGTTTCATACTTAAGTCTTAGTCATGATCAAAAGGCATTTTGAGACCATTTAGCCAAAGAAATTTGACAGATAAGAAAATAAAGGCATAATAAAGTCGAATGACTTGCCAAAGGTAAAGCTACTGGGCAGCATGGCTAGCACTAGCTCTGGAACCCATTCTTAAGTCCCAATCAAGCAGTCTTTGAAAACTTATACACACTCTTTCGTTGTCCTAAGGAAGTCTTTTGTTTCATTCTGCTCAGTTAAGACCATCTTCTAATAAAAGTGAGAGTTTCAGTTTTGGTAGATACAATCATAACAGTATCTAGTCAGAATTAGTGACTCTTTTATTTCCAATATTACTATTGAAACATCTCAAATTCTACTTAGAAATCAGTATACTTCCAAATCTCAATATCTATCCATCTATGTACTCATCCATCTAACCCCACTTCTTTCCCGAAGTATGTATACAAATCTTACAAAGTCGCAAGAGGTAAGTTTCCTAAATCTCAAAAGAAAAACCAAATCTAGACAAAAGGCTACAGTTCATATAAACATTCCTTAAAGTAGCAGATGATATACTATGACTGTTTTAGAAGAACAAAACTGTCTGTATTTTAGGTGACTAGGACAAAACCCGACCCAGGATCTTGTAACACAGATAACCAAAATCATGCATTTGAGTGAAATATCAATCAATTAGAAAATTTACTGATATCTGCAAAGACAAAGAGTTAAAATTTACTTGAGGACAGTCAAGTTAATAAGTACCACAAAAAGAATACTTACATTTCTTTAGTGTTTCCTTATATTTCCATAGTACTTTCACTAACATTTTATTTACTGCCTATAGCCACTGGAACAGAACTATTAACAAGTAACAATCTAGTTTATAGTTCCGCAGAGACAAACCTGAAAGTCAAACCCAGATGGATTCCAGACAAAAGTCTTTGTAGCATTCATCATCAATTAACATAATCCACAGAATATAGTCGCAATAAGGTTTACCTAACACACCTATAAAAAGATCACACTTTCCTCCATGTAGCAGGTCTCAAAATGTAGTCCAAGAGCCCTAAGTATTCTGGACATGTCCAGAAGTCTTAGAAGGCAAACCTACTTTGATAAAAAGATGATTTTTTATTTAGTGGTCTGATACTTGCACTGTTAGGAGAAAAGAAATGGGGACATAAATCTCTTGGCACAACAGAAAATATACATTAGCTTATTGCTCTTTTACGTGAGTATTCATATCAGAAAAGGTTTAATTGTATTAGAAAGGTAAAAATTGTCACAAGTTCTATTTATGACCCCCAAATTATTCATAGGGCTTGAACTCAAGGCCTGGGAGCTGTCCCTGCCTGAGCTTTATTTTGCTTAAGGCTAGTGCTCTATCACTTGAGCTACTGCTCCACTTCTGCCTTTCTGATGGTTAATTGGAGATGAGAGTCTCACAGACTTTCCTGCCCAGACTGGCTTCAAACTAGGATCCTCAGATCTCAAGTCTCCTGAGTAGGTAGGATTACAAGTGTGAACTACCAGTGCCCAACTCTGTTTCTAAATTTCTTACTAAAAATTCTATAGAAACAATACATAAGTAAAATAATTTTTGTCTCTATCTGCACACCTAACCTAAGCTTTCTCCTTATTTTTTAGTATCCTATTTATATTCAGCTAATCACGGACTCTATTTTTTCTAAGCCACTGCATTAAAATGTGAGGAAAAAGGTCAAAGAAGAATTAACTTATTTTCCTTATTCTTATTCTTTCTAAACATCTCAGATGAAGATTTCTAAAGAATCAGAGTTTAGCTGAAACCCACTGATGACTTAAGTGGACTTGAAATTAAATAACCAATTCAGACAGCAAGTAGGAATTCAGAAATATTGTCTTCCTATCAAATTTCATTACTAGTATAAGAAAATAACATTAAATATTTTAATAGCAATTAAGCTCAAAAATGAGTTTTTCAGAAAATTCTTTTAAAGAATTCAATTAAACCACTTTAGATGTATTTGAAACCTTTAAGGTATACAAGTGTTATCTGACCATAAGAGACTAGTTTTACAATTCCATTAAAATAAATAAACAATCCCCTAAAAATGGAATCACAAAAACATCTTAAACCAAAAAGGTGAAAAAAATTAATTCTACACTTTTTTTTATCTTTAAGGACATTTCTATTATAGGACACTATTCTTTACACAGCAATAAAAACAATAAATAACAAAACTTATGATGTGACTAATATTACAAGCATTCTAGTCAGCGTGGATACTTACCTATACTAGAGGTATAATCAGTGGCTCCAAAGATCAACTCTGGTGCCCTATAGTACCGAGAACAGATATATGAAACATTGGGTTCTCCTCGGACCAGCTGCTTTGCACTAATAGAGAAGAAAAAAAAAAAGTAGAGCCTTTCAGTTAATATACTGAAGGAACCTATACTGTTATCACAACACCAAATGTTTATGGAGACTTCATATCATTCCAGTTATACAATATAAAAAAGAAACTATGAGTTGAAACTCTCTTCAAAAAAAGAAATATATAATCTTATAATACCACTCTGGAGAAAAAAAATAGAACAGTAATTTTGTGTGTGTATTTGTGTGCAAACGAGCACACATGCAGGTGTGCCAGTCTTGGGGCTTCAAAACTCAGGGCCTAGATACTATCCCTAAGATTCTGTGCTCAGGCTAGTACTCTACCACTTGAGCCACAGCTCCACTTCTGGCATTTTGGTAGTTTACTGGAGATAAGAGTCCCACAGACTTTCTTGCCTGGGCTGGATTTGAACCATGATCCTCAAATCTCAACCTCCAGAGGAGCTAGGATTACAGGCATGGGCCAGTGGCCACTGGCCTTAGAACAGTAATTTTAAATAAAGTATTTGTCAATTGTCACCACCTAAGGGAAAAAGAGATTAAAAGTCACAGGATGACAAATGATTATTTTCTTCTGATATATTATTTTTTAAATTCAACTTCTAAAATATAGAGATGGAAGACTAGAAAAATGGTATCTCTCTCTACCAAAAAGCATGACAATAGATCAGAATATATCCAATCCTAACTAATCAGTTTTTAGGCTACTTGAAAATTAAAACAGCTTTCAGCAAAATTGCAGAGTTTTGGGTTGGTGATAAGGCATTCTACCACTAAGTAATGGATTCAAACCTCAGCTCAAAAAGAAAAAGAAGTCCCTCCCCCCTAAACTGGGATTTGAATCTAGGGCTTTGAGCTTGTTTGGCTAATGTTTTAACATTTGAGCCATGACTCTAGTCTGGATTTTTTACTGGTTAGTTGGAGTATCAAGGAATTCTCTTCCAGAGCTGGCTTTGTATTGCCCTTCAACTTCCTGAAAAGCTAGGATTAGCTAGGTGTCCAGCTAAAAGTATATATTTTAATTAATTCAATATATAATCAAAAAGTTGCTATAAGACAGTAATAAATATTGAAAGCTTTGCAGCACTGTTTTATGCTACTTGATGGACCCATCTTCTTTTTCTTACAGGTAAGGTAGGAGTATATATACATAATATAAATTTAGACAATAATTAAATACAATAAAAATTAAGTTTCCCAAGTATACTATATTCCCTAAATTTCTCCTACCAGAAGCCATCAATGTTTTGGAATTATTGTATATTCTCTCAGAAATGAACCATTTATAAACATATATACACAGACAACATATTCATACCATCACAACTCATGTTTCCTTTTTTCATATAGTAACTTTTTAATTTAATATCTACAAGATTTTGTAATCTTATAGCTTTTGATCAGGTTTATACAATTACATTTTTGAAATATTGGATAGAAGATCAACTAGCTTACCTTCCAAAGTCACAGAGTTTTAAGACAGCTGTATCAGGATCCAACAAGAGGTTTTGTGGTTTAATATCCCGATGGCAGATTCCAAAGGAATGGATATAGGCTAAACTTCTGAACAGCTGATACATATACAACTGGTACATATAAAAAAAAACTTATTATTTCTATTTCAAACAAATTAGAATCATTAAACAGCAAATAGAATAACATTCTTAGGATGCATTTGTCCCTATTTGTTTAATTCTTACAGTGATTCTATGAGCACACTTTTATTCTCATTGTATAGATGAGAGGAAATTAAGGCTGAATGAACAGGTTGAACATAGTTCTAAGTTATCAAGTATAACGTGAGCCTAGTGTTTTCTCTTTTTGAGACAACATGGTTAAGACAAATAATAACTGTTTTATTATTTCAAAGGAAAAAAATGCATCCAGCTCTTTTATATATTCAAATCTTGTCCTCAACCAAGCTTTTTTCCATTTAAACAAAATAAAACTTTTAAGCCTGCTATCATGGTACACGCCTGTCATCCCAATTACTTGGGAGGCTAATGTAGGAAGATGGCTTGAGCCCAAAAGTTCAGGGCCAACTAGGATGATATCTAGAAATTCTACCTTGTAAAAACAAACGGTGTTGGTGGCTTCACATCTGTAAGCCAAGCTACTCAAGAGAATGAGCTCTGAGAATTACAGTTCGAAACCAAGCCCAAGCAACAAAGTGTGTGAAGACTCTTACTTCAACAATTAAGGACCCAAAAAGCCCGAAGTAGAACTTGTGGCTCAAGAGTAAAGCACTAGCCTTGAGCAAAAAAAGTTAAGGGACAGTGCCCAGACCCTGAGTTCAAGCCTCAGGACTTGCAAAACAAACAAACATCAAGTTCCTAACAATGATTTGATAATCATCTATATTAGAGAAACACTATAAGACCCATTAAACTCTGAAAGGTGCTCACTAGAAAAGGAAAGATGCTCAAAACCTTTTTAAGGTATTAATGGTTATCAATTACAAAACAAGGAGTACTATAAAACAAGAGGCAGAAAGGTTCAGACAATATGGTAACAGACCATTGTCAATGTATGACAAATAAGTCATGTTTGGTACCACAGTAGCAACTGCATTTCCTTATAATTGATTTTCACTTTTTTCCTAGGAATATTGAGTATGTTCTGCACTATCTCTTAACATTTTTGCTCAATGCTAGGGAAGCCACTCACACCCCGCTATTTGTTTGTTGCTGAAAAGTAGAATTTCTAGGTGTCACACTGGTTGGTCCTGATCCTCTGGGCTCAATCCATGTTCCTGGGTGTTAGTGGAGGGAGCCACTAGGTGCCCAGGTAATTAAAAAAAAATTAAACAAAATCTGTAACACAAAGAACTTTGACAGTTCATCCCTAACAGGATCTAATAAGGAATTAAAGGAGCTGTACAAGAATCTTAAATGAGTCTCAGTTGGAGGTCATAGTATTGGGACTGTTTTGAAGATGTAATACATCTATTTTTCCCCAAAAATATATACCATAAGTTCTATAAAGAAAAACTTCCCCTATTTGTATCCTAAGATAGTTAGAATAAAAAGACAAGACATGGGCTGGGAAGGTGGCTCAGTGGTAGAGCACTTGCCTGGGTTCGATTCTTCAGCACCACATAAGCAAAAAGAAAAAAGCTGGAAGTGGCGCTGTGGCTCAAGTGGTAGAACACTAGCCTTGAGCTGAAGAGCTGAGGGACAGCGCCCAGACCCAGAGTTCAGGCCCCATGACCAGACCCAAAAAAAAAAAAAAGACAAGACATATGTATTTGATTCCCACCTTTCACTTATCAAAACTTTTAATTAGTTAGCTCCATAGAATACTTCATAAGTTAAGTGGCCTGGAAAGTAATTTCTTGTTTGTATGTTTTTAAGTGTTTGGCATGATTCTTGATATCATTTGATAGTTTTCTTGCTTTTTGGCCTGACAATATTCTCGGGTTCTCTTATACTATAGAAATCCAATCAATTAAACAGAGACCTAACTTGTTTCATTTCTTTTTGTGCTGCTCCTGGGACTTGAACTCATGTCCTGGGTGCTGTCCCTGAGCTTTTATGCTCAAGGCTAGTGCTTACCACTTGAGCCACACACAGCCCCACTTCCAGCTTTTTGGTGATTAATTAAACATAAAGAGTCTCATGAACTTTCCTGCACAGGCTGGCTTCAAACTATAATCCTCGGATCTAAATTTCTAAATTGCTAGGATTACAGGTGTGAGCCACCAGCATCCAGCATCTCCTGGTTTCTTTAACCACAACGTGTGAGAAGGTAAGAACCTACAGATTTAAAGAAATATTAAAGGTACATAATAAAAAGGCCTTAACTGGATACCAATTCAAATATATAATTTTTGAATGAACAGTTTGAACACAGTTCTAAGTTATCAAGTATAATGAGGCTAGTGTTTTGTGAAACAAAACATAAAATTGTGAAACATGGGAAATATAAATGGGATATTTACCGGGCACTCATGGCTCACACCTGTAATCCTATCTACTCAGGAGAAGAAATCTGAACATCTCAGTTTGAAGCCCAGGCAGGAAAGTCCATGATACTCTTATCTCCAATTAACCACACACACACAAAAAAAAAAAAATCAGAAAGGGAGCTATGGCTAAAGTGATAGAGCACCAGCCTTGAGCAAAGAAGCTGAGGAACAGTTCTCAGAACCTAAGTTCAAGCCCCGCTACTTAATACATACACAGACAATTTATTTAATGGTATTGATAAAGTACTATCTTATAAAGAATGAAAATAGTATTGTATCTTTGTTTCTATTTTTATAAAAAAATACTGGAGCATTTACATAAGAAAATAATAATAAATAAGGGGCATATAAAATAATGGGAATAGAGTTGAGGGTGGTACAGATAAGATGAAATTGGTTATGAAGTAATACTGTTAAAGCTGTATGATGGGTATATATGGGGGTTAATTATTGTTTGCTCTAGTATTATATATCCTTGAAATCTTCAGTTGAAACAAGTGCTTAAAGAAAAGATGTTTAAATGAGCAAAATTTCTGCAGGTAAAAATGAACAGAAAATCATTTGGCATATCTTAGTTTAAGTAATGTGGAAAGAGGTACATAGATCAACCCTGATCTATGAAGCAATATATATAAACATGGAGAGTAGATTCATCAGAACTTATTCTTTTTTTCAAAGAGATCTGACAATTAAAAAGTACCTGAGGGCTGGGAAGGTGGCTCAGTGGTAGAGCGCTTGCCTTGCATGCATGAGGCCCTGGGTTTGATTCCTCAGCACCACATAAGCAAAAAGAAAAAAGCCGGAAGTGGCGCTGTGGCTCAAGTGGTAGAGCGCTAGCCTTGAGCTGAAGAGCTGAGGGACAGCGCCCAGGCCCAGAGTTCAGGCCCCACGACCGGACCCACCCCCAAAAAAGTACCTGACATTCCTAGCTTCTGAACCACTTTTATAATGTTTTACCTTATTTACTGTTAACTTATGTAGTTGTTTTTTTTTGCCTACAGAAGGAATAATGAAACCCGTTGCTAAATATTAAATTACTATGTAATAGTTTGTACTTAGTTGCTGAATTAAAGATCTGAAACAAAAACTAGTCTTAATAATATGCACACCTGGCTGAATGTCCTTAATATGCCATTTCTGGTCATGTTAAGGCCTTCTATGACTTCTACTTACAGCCCCACAACGTTTTCTCTTATCTTAGACTCATTTTGCACCCCAGCAAAGCTATATCATGGGGAGGAAAGAAATAGTTTTACAAATGTGAAAGACAATGAATGACTTTTACCAACAGCATGTTGGGCTTCAGAACTGGATCTTTAGAAACCAAATCTAGTGTTTTTTGTGATTCATATATCTATCAACATTCTGCACTGTGAGGAAGGTACAAATTATCATTACTCTAAACTAAGATCTTCAAAGACTGATTACCTTAGATTTAGGGAGGTCAAAAAGATACACTATGTGTTAGTAAGAAAATAGGATTTGCTGCTCTAAAATGAGAAGAAAACAAATCTATGAGAAAATCTGTATGTCTTTTAATTCCTACTACTATCAATTTAATTATAACCTAAAACAAATTTTGATAAACCTTAGTCAAATTATACTGAAATCAGTTTTTAATCTCCAGTTCAGTTCAATAGGACTCCTGAAATCCTTGCACAAACTGAACTAGCTACCAAAAGTATTAAAAGAAATTCTACTATTAATGTTCCTCAAGTCTAAAACTGTTAATAATTAGCCAGGTGCCAGTAGCTCCTACCTGTAACCCTAGCTACTTGAGAAGCTGAGGTTAAGAGGGCTGTAGATTCAAGCCAGTCAGGGCAAAAAAGTTTGAAAGATGCAGTGGTATATACCATCATTTTGCTGACAGGAAGCCTAAAGTAGGCACATAATGGCTCAGGCATGTGCCACAAGAAAGCAAGACCCTACCTCAAACACAAGCAGGACAAAAACAGGGCTGGAGGTGTGACTCAAGTGGTAGACCACCAGCCTAGGAAATGCAAAGCCCCAATTTCAAACCCCAGCACTTTTTTTGGCCAGTTCTGGGGCTTGAACTTAGAGCCTGGGCACTGTCCCAGAGCTTCTTTGGCTCAAGGCTAGCACTCTACCACTTGAGCCACAGCACCACTTCTGGCTTTTTCTGTTTATGTGGAATCAAATCCTGGGCTTCATGCATACAAAGCAAGCGCTATACCAATAAACCACATTCCCAGACCCAAACCCCAGTACTTCTAAATAAAAGAAAAAAAAAAATGTAACAATGAAGAAAATTCAATTCTGAACATAAAACACAAGAATATTACTGCTAGTTTTTAAAAGTATATGTCAATTATATTTAATGAAAATATTTCTTTCCCCTTCCCTCTGCCTCCCTCCAACTCTTCCCTAATGCCCTCCCCCACCCAGTTCTTTTCCTTCCCCCTTTTTGTGCCTCGCATATTTCTCTAGGGCTTTTAAATACAGGGTCTTGAGCTATAGGCAAGTGCTCCACCAGTTAAACCTCCAATGCTCTCCCACTTTTGAGAATATGGAGAAAAACTCGCTAAACATTTATACTTCTGATACAGTTGCAATAAATGTATCTATAAATGTCAATAAACACTGAACTTGTTTATACTTATAATTATATAATTCTATGTATGCAAGTTTGTATCATAATGCTCTTGTTTTGGTCTGAGGCATAATAAAGACATTAGACATTAACACAAAATGACAATGGCTAAGTGCCATGGCTATCAGAATTAAAATCTGCAATTTCCATTAAAAAAAAAATCAGTGTACTTTATCAGTCATAAAAGTTTAAAAAGTGAAGACTTCTTGGCTAGCTAGGGTTATACACACTTGTAATCCCAGATTGGGAAAACTGAAGATCAAGGCTATGCCAGGATAAAAGTTAGCAAAACTTCCATCTCAACAAATAAGTTGACAGTAGGATTGTGGTCCAAGATCTGCCTACACCAAAAAAAAAAAAAAAAATCCCACAAAATCCAAACCAAAAATTAACTAAAGCCAAAAAAAAAAAAATAGTGCTGGGGGCATAGCTCAAGCAGTAGAATATCTGTTCAGCAAGCACAACACCAAGTTCAAAGTCCACAACTAGCCTCTCCACTGCATAAAAGTTAAAAAAACTTTTTTAAAATTTTGTTTTAAAATTGTACATGAATAAGGAACTCTACAAATTCTTTCTTTGCAATTTCCCCCCTTGTATTTAAAGCAGTAATTAATTAAAACATACCCAGTATTAACCCTGCCTGGCTCACAATAAAATAAGAAATTGTGGGGCTGGGAAGGTGGCTCAGTGGTAGAGCGCATGCCTTGCATGCCAGAGGCCCTGGGTTCGATTCCTCAGCACCACATAAGCAAAAAGAAAAAAGCCGGAAGTGGTGCTGTGGCTCAAGTGGTAGAGTACTAGCCTTGAGCTGAAGAGCTATGGGACAGTGCCCAGGCCCAGAGTTCAGGCTCCATGACCGGACACCCCCCCCCCCCCCAAAAAAAATCGCATGAAAGAAAAAAAAATTAAAAAAAAAAAAGGAATTGTTACTTTTACATACCTTGACATAGATCACAGGGAGTGTCTGTTTGGCTCGACTATAGTGTCTAGCAACTCTGTATACTGTTTCCGGAACATAGTCCAGCACCAAGTTAAGGTAGACTTCATCTTTCTGAAAGAATTTATTATAAAACAAAAAAACAGATTAGAAGTTAGCTTAAGTGTTCAAATGGGAGTAAAATTATATTAAGTTGCTTATGAGTATATCACACATATAAGTTGTATATGAATGTATTTCATGCTTAGACTTGAACACCATAGAATACTTCATTCTATAGAAGCAAATTTAAGAATTGGTCTCAAGCATTTCATATAAAGAGATAAGAATTATTCAACCTGTAGAAGTAGAATGCAAGGAATTGTGATTCTGAGGTGTTAGGTCATTTATATAGAAGTTGAAGCTAATTTTTTTCAAATGAACACTATTACTCAGTGTATAAGTTCTCATAATTCTAATAAACCATTCAAACATTGCTCAAAAATCCAGCTCTAAAATATCCTGAGATCCAGATAAGCCTTCCCCCTCTATAAAATAAAAATGCCAAGCTACATATGCTTAGTATACAACAGTGGGATAGGCATAGGGTAAACATTCTCATTCTTTAAGGAAGGAATAGAATACCAAGGAAGGAATGGATGAGATCCTAACCCATGCACATAGCTATCTAAAAGCATTCTTAAAATCAGAATAAGCCTGGTATTGTGGCTCAAAGCTATAATCCTAGTTATTTGGGGGGGGAGGAGGTTAGGAAGTGTAGAGATTGGGGTGCTAAGGTTATAGGCTAGCCTAGGCAAAAAGAAGACTCCAAGACCACTTTAACCAATGGCTCAGTGTAGTGGTACGTGTCCCTTGTCCCGTCCGTGTGGGATGCAAAATGGCTGGGCCCAATGGCAGACATCTGTCATCTTCGTCAACACAAGTAGGATCACAAACCAGAGAACCCAACCTCCCTTGAAAATAACCAGTACAAAAGGGGCTAGAGGGCAGGCACTGATGGCTCAGGAGGCTGAGATCTGGGGATCATGGTTCAAAGCAAGCAAGCCCAGACAGGAAAAGTCTGTGAGACTATTATCTCCAAAAAAACAAAACAAAACCACTAGGAAAACAGAAAAGGAGCTGTGGCTCAGAGTGGTAGAGAGCAAAAAGATCTCAGGGACAGCAGCCAGGCCCTAGCTCAAGCCCTACAACTGACCAAAAAAAAAAACAAAAAAAAAAAGATGGGGGTAGCCTAGGGAAGTGACTCAAGTGATGAGTGCCTACCTAGCAAGCACGTGGCTCCATGTTCAACCCCCTAGTTCCATAAAAACAAAACAAAACAAATTACAAAAGAGAATCCCCTCCCACCAAAAAAACAAACTTTAAAACCCTTCAAGGGCTCTAGTTAGGCTAAAATGACAGAACAAATCTGTTATATGAAATTTAACAAAGATAAATATAAAGCCTAATAATTAAAGTCAAAATATCAGTAGCAAGATCAAATGACAGTGATTCACTGGAAATTAAATGGTAGATGTAAATAATGCAGTTGAAATGCCCCTGGCTATGGATTCCATTCCCTCTTAGTAGAGGTGGAGGTGGAATCAACCATCTGAGACCAAAACATTGAATGAGCAGTTAAGATTCCTTACGAGCACACTTCCCTCATCAAGGTGCCTTGAGGGACACAATGACCACTATAAGTTTGACTTTTAACTAGTGGTACTAAACCAGAACGGTAAAAAAAAAAAATCAAATGCGCAGCATCTAGCCATCATCTTCTCATATGAGGCATATAACTACTTCCCACACACAGGAAATCATTGCAATTACTAAACTTCTTGGGGAGGGCCACAAGAAAGTCCCAAGTTTGAACTGTTAGACATTACACATCCTACCCTGTTGGATAATAAAAACCTATAGACTGCCTCAAGGTGAATCTGTGCTTTCTAAAAAAAAAAATCCTGTCTTGCTATCTTTGTGGTTCTTTTGCTATGACTAGAAAGACATCTTGATCTTAGATGTTGAAGCAGAAGGCTCAAGGAACAATCAACTTGAGATACTAATGCAAAGAGTATTATATACCAGGAGAACTGTATAGCTCAATAAAGGCAATTCTACTTCTTCGTATAGTTCTGACCACATAGAAGTACGGATGATCGCCTATTTAGACAGCATGTTTTATTAATAATATTGGCAAAACAGACTAGTGTATCTGCTATAGGTTCAATGCTCTAATTTACCATGAGAAATATGATCTTAAGTAAACATTTTTATTAAATTTATAAATGCTTTAATGCAAATTAAGCAATCACAGGAATAATCTATGAGGGGAGAGAACAATGTTCAATCCCTGGAAACATTTTATAGAAAGAAATCAGCAACATTTTCCTGCAAACATCACTCAGGAAGTGAGGGACACTGATATTTCAAGAACAAAGAAGAGGAAGGGAGGGGAAAAGAGAGAAAAATGAGGGAGGAGTAACAAGTTCAATAAGAAATGTATTCACCGAAAAACAAACTTTACAACTTAGGTGGGGGAGGACGGGGAGGGGGGGAGATACGAAGGGTCGGGAAGGGGAAACAAAGCAGGAGGCTACAATGCTTGATAAGAAATATGCTCATTATCTTACCCATGTAATTGTTACCCCTCTGTACAGTATTTTCACAATAAAAATATATTTTAAAAAAAGTAATGAAGGGCAGGTTTTTACTATCTGCAGTACCCCCAGACTGGCCTTAGACTTAAATCCAAACTCCTAAATGCTTGGAGTTACAAGCCATTACCACCACACCTGGTTTCTTTTGATTTTTTTGATAAGAGTTATAATAGTTATGAAGTAGTATCATAGTAATTTTTAATTACATTTCTCTAATGACTTCTGCTCACAAAGCATTAATCTAGCATAGAAGTTGTATTAAACACAACTTTGCAAACCCACTGGCAATTTTCAGGGCTTTATGGAGAACATGTCTATTCAGAACTTTTGTCCATTTTTAATCAAGTTTCTTGTTAATCTCATCTTTAATCTTTCTATACAAATCAATAATTAATTCACAGTAGCAGATGGGAAAAAAAATTAAACAACTCCTAACAGTTTTCAATTTTCAATAACATATTGCTTAATCATTTTCTGTTTACACTAGAAACTATATAACTCAATTTAGTTAGACCTGTTACAAGAATGTATGTATAAAAAAAAGAAATGTACTCACTACCTTACTTACATAACTAAGTTATGTACATCAACTTGACAATAAAATAAAAAATAAAATAAGTTCATTTTAGGAAGAAAAAAAAGAAAGAGGACCAGGCCTCATCATTTATAGCATCTGTAATTTTCTGACCCATCTGAGGTCTGATATTATTTTGGCATAATCTCTCTTAGAATACTAACGTGAATTTCAAAAGACTCACGGATTAGTTATAAATATAGAAATACAACCCAGTGGGGCTGGGAAGGTGGCTCAGTGGTAGAGCACTTGCCTTGCATGCATGAGGCCCTGGGTTCGATTCCTCAGCACCACATAAGCAGAAAAAAAAAGCCGGAAGTGGTGCTGTGGCTCAAGTGGTAGAGCGCCAGCCTTGAGCTGAAGAGCTGAGGGACAGCATGCAGGCCCAGAGTTCAGGCCCACAACTGGATACAAAAAAAGAAAAAAAAAAGGAAAGAAAAAAGAAATACAATCCAGTGAAGGAAGAGGTGACACTGTCCAAAAAGAAGTGCACTCTTTACCTGACTTATGTAACTGTAACCCCTCTGTACATCACCTCCATAATAATGTTTGAAAAATGTAACCCATGAAAATTTTAAAGAAAAATATAATCCATGAAGAACATGATTTCAAATGCAGAGGTTGAAAATACTTAATGCACTAGCAAAATGACTAAATTCTAATTTCAAAGAAATGTTACTAGGCTTCCAAAACAGGCCATGGAGTCACTGAAGCATCCTTTGAAACAAATATAAAGCCTAGATCGATACAGAAAGTTCCACAAAAAATTATGTGACACATAATTTAGCAAAGATTCTGTACGATGGCCTAGTTTTCCTTGTTATCACTTTTTTCCCCCCAAGAACACAGGGGTTTGAATCAGGGCTGGCATGGCATCTTACCACTCGAACCATGTCTCCAGCCCAACTTTCTGCTAGTTATTTTAGAGATGGAGTCTCTTGATCTTTTTGTCTTGGCTGGCTTTGAAAAAATATCCTGATCATCCACATCTTAGCCTCCTTTGTAGCTAGTATTACAGGAGTGAGCCACTGATGTCTGGCTTTCCTTATTATCTTTTTTTGGGGGTGAGGGGGTGGGGGGGAACGTGTAGAAGTACTAGGACTTGTATTCAAGAGCCTGGAAACTGTCCCTTAGCTTTGTTGCTCAAAGATGACACTACCACTTCAGCCCCACTTCCGCTTCTGGCTTTTTTGTTGCTTAACTGGACATAAGTGTCTCATGGACTTTCCTGCCCAGGCTGGCTTTGAACTGCAATCCTCAGATCTCAGCCTCTTGAGTAGCTAAGTGTACACCACTGGTACCAGGCTTGTTATCACTTTTATGATTATATTCTGATCATTGATGTTCTTCTATGAATGCCACATTAAAGCCATACACAGACATTATAAGAAAAAAAGAATGTGGGGGGGAGGGAGGGGAGAGACAGACAGAGACAGAGACTGTCTAGAGACAGAGACAGAGACAGTTACTGGGGTTCTCACAGCCTCATGATCTCTTGCTTGGCTTTTCTATTTACAGCTGATGTTGAACTATGCTTCCACTTCTGACTTTCTGCTGGTTAATAGGAATGTCTTTTACATATCTGTCCAGGCTGGCTAGAAACTACAGATTCTTACATCTCAGCCTCCTGAGTAGTTAGGATTATAGGTATGGGCCATTGGCACCCTGCTCTAAAGAACAAACTTTTGAACCCAACCATCAACAACTCAGCACTACCTTTGTAAAATAGATAATAATATGATGTCTTTATCCCCAGAATGACTTCTGAGATCAAGGAAAATAAAATGGCTTACAGTTATAAAGAGAAATTTTTAGCAATAAAATGCATATACATGAGTCCACAAATGTAAACAAGTGACTAACCACATTAATAAATAGGACAAAACTGGATATGAGAAGCTGAGCCAGGAGAATGTGAGTTCTAGGCAAGACTTGGCTATAAAGTGAGTTTGAGATTGGCTTGGGTCACACATAGCAAGACCCTGTCTCAAAAAATGACAATAATAATATAATTTAAAATTTACACATAAATGGGAAATAAGAGATAAGTTTGGCATGCAAAACAAACCAAAATAAGACAAAACACATCAACAATTTATGTTGCTATTCTAGTGTTAGAAAAAAAAGAGAGTATAAGAACATAGCTACTTCTTCTTACAGTGATCTACAGTGACTGCAAGTAGTATAGAAAGAGGAAGATGGGGGGTGACAAGGGGGTTACAGTGGAGAAAGCTCAAATTCACTATGGCAGACTGGTAAGGGAAGTCAGTAATAGCAGTCATATATCATGCTAACAGTATATACCATGATAGAATATGGTAAGAAGGACACCATCCATTTGGTGTTCTTCCCAAAAACCTATAACTACAAATGAACATCCTACAAAATACCTGATCAGTATTTAAAACTCCTCTTAGACATACACAAATACACAAAGCTTCTGCGAGAAAAATGCCTACCAAAACAGGACTGCCATATTTAGATGTAAGTACAAATGCCAGAGGTGCTAAGGTCCTTATTTAAGCAGCAACAGAATCCTCTCCTAAGAAAATCAGAGTGTTCATCTCGAGAACAGAACTCACCCTCTCCTATGGTAGAATTAACTTAGTTGTTCCTATCAGAACAACTCAAGAAATGGAGATCATTTTTAGGGTCACTGAAGTGATCCTTTAAGTAGCTGGAAGATTTGGAGTGTTGAACCTGTATAGTTATGTGTATCTTTAGACAATTTTCTTGTTTGGGGACAAAGGATCACTACCTCCCTTCTTCTCCATCTCTTCCTGTATTTTTTCATGGAGCTACCCCAAACAAATGTGTCTTTATCTTTAACTTGAATAAAATTACAATGCTCAAAAAATAGTTCTGAGATATATAAAATATTTGAAAGTGTGTTTCTTTTGCTAACAGTGAGGTTCACTATCCTTCTTACTAACTTTGGTTAATAATTTCTCTGCATATATAAAAATATTTATGATACATAGGAAGCTGTGAGCAGCAGCAGGATGTAACTCTTCTTCTCAGGTACTCTCTCAAGATAATAGCCAGTCAACTGCCACCAATAAGGCAGGATTAAATCAGGGTTAAACCAGGCTGACTGATGGAGGCTTCCCACTAGCTACAACTAGACAGGTAAACCACTGAATCCAAAGGTCTAATAATCCTTATTCTCTAATCTTTAACTTAAGAAAAGTTAAATTAAATCGAATAGTTGCAAAGAATTAAATAGTGTCTGGTATTCTAGGAATTTTATGTATGTATGTGTGCGCACACACACACACATACACACACACACACATATGAGGAAATGTTTAGAAGCTTTGTAAGGAGGCCATCAAAACACATAAGATTAAAGACAGGAACAAAAAGTTTGCTAGGTTAAGAGGGGAAAAGGATCATGAAAAAAAGAACTCATAATATTTATGAGGGCTAATAAAAGGTGAAATATCATTTACATTTGTTTTTTAAAAAAGGAACTGAGAAGCAAATACCAATAAAGGATCAATGTGTTAATTATGGTTAAAATGAATTAGCTATGACATGCTGTAGACAGGAATATCATTATATTGTATGACTTATGTAGATATCCTGTCATAGGCTTTGTTTCAAAGGGAGGGATTCTTAAATAATGTAAATAAGTTTAAGGCAAACTAGCAAATCTGGTTGAATACTATAGAAGATTTGCAAAATTATTAAAACAAAACAATGAAACCCTATTGGGGATGATAGGATTTTAGAGGAAAGAAGAAAGACTGTGATTAAGGGGTGGGATTGACTGGGGAACAGTGTAAATATGTGTGGAGATGTAACAATGACATTCTCTCCTATGTAACTAATATAAGCCAATTTAAGAAAATCAACCTGTGCCGGGCCGGTGGCTCATGCCTGTAATCCAAGCTACTCAGGAGGCTGAGATTTGAGGATCGCAGTTCAAAGCCAGCCAGGCAGGAAAGTCTGTGAGACTCCTATCTCCAATAAACCACTAGGAAACCGGAAGTGGTGCTATAGCTCAAGTGGTAGAGCTCTCGCCTTGAGCTGAAGAGCTGAGGGACAGCGCCCAAGCCCAGAGTTCAAGCCCCACAACCGACAAAAACAAACAAACAAACAAAAAAACCAAAAAACCTGTGACATTAGAAAAATTATTTTAAGTCAAAAGAACAATGAGCTACAAATCAACAGGCACGATGGATCTAAGACCAATTAGATACTAACTACATGTGTGAAATGTGAACTCCAAAATGTCAAGTGAATTTATTCAAAGGCTTAATTTTTCCGTAGTCATGCACAAATCAAGCGATTGAATAGTTATTTCTCTACCTTCCACCTTAAACCAGTAAGATAGGTGGGAAGGGGGAAAAGTGACAGACTGAAATCTGGCAGAAGGTAAAGTGACAGGCAGAAAGATAAAAAAGATGGACAGAAGAAACTAGTTTTCTTTGCTTCCAGCTTCAATGTATATAATGACACTAGTTACTGTCCCTCTGAGGAGAAAAGAAAATGGGTAAAGGATTCACAGCATGGTCACAGACATCCCTTACTTTTGTAGAATTAAATGTGATCAGAAATAGTCACTACATATGATGAGCTCTGTAATATGATACCCTTTTCAGCTTCTTCCCTGGCTATGGATTGGTTAAACTACCTTATAATATTTAACTCTTAATCTAGTCCAACCAGTCCTCTTCCTTCTTTCTTCTCTGTAGTTGTTCCACTTAACAAAATGATTCAACTTTCCTCCCTCCAAAAGAATTTATCAGAGGGTTTCATAAATATATAAATGACACAAAAATATTAATGAAAAATATTAATTTGCTTGAAAACTAAAGGTAGGTGTTAAAAAAAGAGAAAATGCTTTCCCTCCCCCGCTCCTTCCTTCCTCTCTAATTACCCTCTTTTCACCCCCTCTCTTTTCTCCTAAAGACAGACTTGTTATGCAGCCAGGCTTGCCTAAATATTCTCCTGCCTCAATCTCTCTCAAGTACTGAGATTAAAAGCCAATACCATACTGCCTGGCTGAGACAATTCTTAAAAGTACATCCTCTTTTATTTCGCATTAATATTTTCTTGATACAACTAATAGTTTCAATGAGCATATTCAGGTTCAGAGCCACTGTGGCCTGTGCTTTGCATTGTTCCATTCCATTACACAAACTATTTTATGGAGATGGAGGGCAGGGAAAGGTTATTTAGAAAAGTGTTTATCACAGTATTTAGTGAATAGTTTTGTCAGACCTACCTTCTCACCACTTGAGTAGAAGAAATAACGCAATCGGACTATGTTACAGTGATCTAGCTTTCTCATGATTTGGAGCTCTCGATTCTGAAAGGGAAACATAGGAAAATATTCTTAAAATATTTTACAAACTCTTTATTATGACTTAGATGCTTCTGATATAACACCAAACATTACAAACATCTGACTACAAATATGCAACATAGTGAGCCAGGTATGTTGGCCCCCAACTGTAAACTCTGGGCAGGGGAGGCTCAGGCGGGAGGACTACAAGTTCAAGGTCAGTCTGAGGTACACAGCAACATCCTGTCTCAAAAAAGCAATCTGTGGATTAGTATTGTTGTACAAAGTATTTGCTAGAAGTCAATGAACTACTCTCAGCAAGAATATAAATGTAGAAATTAAGTTTTTAGAATTTTTATAGCAATTTGAGAATAATGTTATATCTATAAATCTGATTCTAAGAATTGGAACCTATTTTTTTTTAATGTTTTCTTTTGAGGGACTGCCACTGGTGGCTCTTGTCTGTAATCCTAACAACTGAGGAGGTTGAGATCAGGAGGCCTGTCTAAGCTTTCAATCAACTTCATTTCTAAACCAGCAAAAAGAGGCATGGCTCAAGCCAGCTGAGCAAGCTAGCTAAGGAGCTCAAGAATGTGAATTCAAACTCTAGTATCACAACCCCGACCCCTTCAAAAAAGCTTTCAGTAACTCATTTGTATTGTATTTTGCAAAAATGTTAGTCTACTGACTGCAAATAGGGTATGGAGCATGGTCTACAGTTTGTAAGAAGTACTTGAAATTGTTACTAGTGCAAAATTTTTGGCTAATATATTTATTGTTTATGTTTATATGAGATATAAACAATTGAAAAGGTATAAACATGGAAAGAGCTCAGTTTAGTTTTAGAAAGAGGTAAAATACAGCATACTAGCAACTGAAAGGCCATAGTTTGGGAAGATACAAATGTATGCTCACTCTTTCTAAAAAACAAACACTAAATAGCAATATAATACAACTAAATATATTAATTTTATAGTAGGGGGCAATTCCTTTTGATATTGCATACATACAATGTATCTCAATGAATTAGCTCTATCATTCTCCCTCCCCACTTCATAAATTTAACAATTACATTATTCTATTTTCATACATGTAAAAGTTTAGTTAGACCATATTTAATCCTGTCACTATTTTTGCCATCTCCCCCATCTTCTAGCTCCCAATACAGTCAAAGTAATCAGAAATAGGAAAACATAAGGTATTTTCAATCAATGTAATTCAGAGAGCTAAAAAGTACAAAACATATGCTTGAAAATCAGGAAGATTCGTAGTGTTATGGTCGGAAAAGAGATCAAAAAGGAATGTAGGTATGTCTAAGGGCCACAGAGACAGAAAAAAAAAAATTAAATACTCCTTAAACTGACCTTCTGGTCTAGGCTTATGTATAATGTGATATTTTACATTCCTTTTATAGTATAACAATCTATCAAGACATTACTTACTAAGCACATAAGTAAAGCAATAAGGTGACAGGGCAGTATAACTATTTTAACAAAGATGATAGCTGATGTAAGACTCTAGCTTTTGACCTTGGCAAATAGCAGAACACAAAGAACTACTAATTTCAAAACTTCCATTTCCATTCTAAATTCAACCTGTTCATGAAAATGTTCCTATACTATGCAATTCACATTTAGGTGGCTAGATTCAGGAAAAACAAACATACCACAAACCTGCTATTAAAGCAAGACTCACTCTTCCCATGATACATAGCTATTAAAACTATTGATCTGAAGGCAGAATTCTGTGGTTACAGGGACTCCAAATGTAAATATTTACAGATGGGCTTGGAAATAACCAAAAGGAAACCATATGCCAGCGGCTCATGCCTGTAGTTCTAGCTACTTCGAAGGCTTTGAATGGAAGGACTGAAGTTTGAGGCCAGCCTGGGCAGAAAAGATATTGAAAGAACCATTCTCATGGAAAGAAGCTGAAGCTGATGTGGTGGTGCATCCTGTCACCATGCACACGGGCATCCTGGCTATAAAGGCAACCTATAAAAAGGTAGACTACAGTCCAAGTATGTTCCCAGGTAGGTAGTGCAACATCTCAAAAATAATCACTAGAAAAGGATTTGAGGTGTAGTTCACTGACAGAGTGGCTATCTAGCATGTGTGAGGTCATGGGTTCAAATCTCAGTATTGCCCCCACAAAAAAAGGAGGAAAAAGTACTCCTCTTTAAAACAAAAACACAAAACCACCAAATAATCTAAAGGATAACATGTTTGCATCATCTGAGTAAAGAAAGAACAGTAGAAAATATTCAGAGATGCAGGCAGGGACAATAAGATGCAACGTTCACATTATTCATGGTAAGAAACTGAATTTCACTCAAAATATACAGTCAATGGAGGTTTTGAGGCTATATAAAGCAGTACTGGGATTTGAAGGCAGTCTTCTCTTCTTAGAGCTGAAGCCATGGCCCTCAAAGGAAAATAGGACAAGGAGAGTGATATGAACTGGTTTACCTTTCCAAAGAGCATTCTAAAAACTAAAGACAGTAATTCTGAAGACTAAAATTGGATCAAGAGTTCTGTGGTGTTTCCCCTAAAGTCAGCAACACAGTAAGGATGCTGATGTCATTTCTCTCTACTCATCTTCAATGTAGTTCTGGAATTCTTAGCCAAAGCAATAAGGCAAGGAAAGGACATAAAAGGGATCCACATAGAGAAAGAAGAAATTAAATTATCCCTATCTGCAGATGACATCATCTTATACCTCAACGACCCAAAGAACTCTACTCCCAAACTCCTAGAACTAATAATCCACTTTGGCAAAGAAGCAGGATACAAAATTAACCCACAAAAATCAGTAGTCTTTCTGTATGCCAACAATGTACAAGCAGAATGGGAAATCTTGGAAACAATCCCATTTGCAATAGCCTCAAAAAAAACTACAAACACACACACACACATACATATATACACAAAACAACCCCCCCCCCCACAAAACTAGGAGTTAACCTAATCAAAGATATAAAAGGTATTATAGCAAAAACCATAAAAATCTAAAGAAAGAAATCAAAGAGGATACCAGGAAATGGAAAGAGCTTCCATGTTCATGGATAGGTAGAGTCAATATTGTGAAAATGGCCATACTGCCAAAAATGATATACAAATTCAGCGCAACCCCCATCAAAATCCCAATGATGTTGTTTACCATGATAGACAAAACAATCCAAAAATTCATGTGGAACAACAAAAGATTTAGAATGACCAAAGCAATTTTAGGCAAAAAAAGCAATGCAGGCGGTATCACAATACTAGATTTCAAACTCTACTACAGAGCCATAATAACAAAAACAGCTTGGTATTGGCACAGAAAGAGACCTGAAGACCAATGGAACAGACTAGAAGACCCAGAAATAAAATCACATACTTACAGACATCAGATATTCGACAAAAGAGCCAAAGACATACAGTGGAAAAAACACAGCCTCTTCAACACTTAGTGATGGGAAAACTGGGCAGCCACATGTAGAAAACTAAAAGTGGATCCCTGCTTGTTGTCACCATGCACTAGTATCAATTCAGAGTGGATCAAAGACTTCACCATCATACCTAAAACTCTAAGAAGAAGAGCTAAGAATGGCAAAGAAACACATGAGGAAATGCTCGTCTTCTCTGGCCATAAAGGAAATGCAAATCCTGAGCTACCATCTTACCCCAGTTAGACTGGCCAACATTTTTCATTTGAACAACAACAAATGCTAGTGGGGATATGGGAGAAAAGGAACCCTGCTGCAGTGCTGGTAGGAATGTACAACCACTCTGGAAAGCACTCTGGAGGTTTCTCAGAAAATTAAACATAGGTCTTCCCATGACCCAGTCATACCTCTCCTTGGCATCTACCCTAAGCATCATGAGCCAGGATATGATAAAGACACCTGCATATCCATGTTCACTACTGCACTATTCACAGTAGCCAAGATATGGAAACAACCCAGATGCCCCACAATAGATGAGTAGATAAAAAAAAAAGTGGTACCTATATACAATGGAATTTTACACAGCCTTAGAAAGAATAAAATAATGTCATTTGTAAGGATACAGAGCAAACTAGAACAAAGAATATTAAGTGAGGTAAGCCAAGATGAGAGACAAAAGGCGGATGCATGTTCTCCCTCATATTGGAAGTTAGATCTAAAAAGCACTGATATGACAAATTACAGAGTATTGGAGATACTCACATACAGCGAGACCAAAAGAGAATAGTCTTGAATCACAAAGGTGCAATCCCAAGCGCTTCTTCATATGCATATAAAATAATATGCATCTTGAAACAAATTCCAAAGAAAGGAAAACAAAGGACTTTTTTCTTAATATGTTTTTCTTTTGCTGATGATTCTATATTCTTTACTTTATATACAATGTATTCATGTGCACATCTACGAGAAGGTGAGGAGAACAGAATCCAAGGAAAAACGGTGAAAAAGACAATGATGAAAGTGAACTATGCAACTCATGGGTGAAGATGGGAGAGAGGGAATAGGAGAGAATAAAGCAACAAATGATACTGTGGGAAAGGAAATGTACTTATTACCTGATATATGTAAATGTAATCCCGCTCTATATCACCTCCAAAACAATAAAAAAAAATTTTAAACACAAAAATGGTTTTTTGGTGGTGCTGTATTTAAAATCCTTATTCAGCCAGGTAAGGATTCGAGGTAGAAACATGAATCTGAAGTTTTCTCTGCGTAAAAATGGTTTAAATAGTTTAAATGTGGGGACCTTATGGTAACTTAGAGAAGAAATTGTGTGTGGGAATCATAAAATAAAAATGAATAGAGTAGAGTAGTTAATGGAACAGAAAAGACAGAGAATGTCATCTTAGAAACCAAGAGTTTTCAATAACACAAAGTGCTGAGCGACTGAATAAGAAGATTAAAAACAAAAAACTGACAGTTTCAATAGAACAACAGTAAAAGAAACCTAATGAGATTAAATTAAAGTGGGTATAGAACACTTTGAAGGATATTTCCAGCTAGAGGAATGGCAAGATCAGGAAATTTATTCCCCCCA